CACACACACACACACACACACACACACATACATACACACATACACACACACGCACACACACTTGGACACACACACACACGCACACAGTGACACACACACGTATGCACACTTTTTTTTTTCTCTTTCATCGAACTGCAGTCACACTGAGAAGGCTTTTGTATTGTTAAGGAAGGTCAACTGACAACAAGGAGCATCGTTCGTCATTCCCTTTGTTTTATGTCTGGCGTCTGTTGTCACATCTGACGGATGAGCTTGCTGTCAATATCACTGTTATTCCTCCCATTTACCTTTTCGGCTGACCCTCCCCCACCTCACCTCTCATAACCCTACCCCCAATTCTTCACTCCAGTTGACCATTACCCTAGGAATTCTCATTTGAGAAGGCCTATACCTTACCCCTTTTTTTAGAGTGGACTGTATAATATTTTGTTCGGGGTTTTTACCCTCTCATTTTTCGTGATTATATTTTGTAAATATTTCGCTTTCACTCCCGCACGCGGATGTACTGCTTTTTGGCTGCTGAAAATACATATTACTATGACCACTAAAACCGTTGCAAATCAAGAATACTTTTCAAAAAATAAATCTCAAACCTTAATGCAAAGCTTCAAATTATGATGAAACACATTAGGGCATGCCCCCTGAAACCCTCCAGATGATTTTAGGTCAGGGCCATCCCAAAAATACAAAATCAAAATACATGGTAAAATTTTCAAAAGACCTTAATGCTGTTTCATGTCTTGGATTCTATTGGACACCATACTCCTCATTGGGCCTGGTTTTCCATTTCTCTTCTGTCTTTTTTCTGTCAGCCATGCCCTTTCCTTGTGCTATTATTGTGTCTATGCGTTATTCTTTACTCAAACAAAAAACGCACGATAAATTATGTGTCAAACTAGCCGGTAACTTACTGGACAATTTCCAGTAGAGTGGGTAGCTGAAGGGTACCACTGGTACATCTATTTTCCGTACTCGTTCTCTGCTGTTTCAGTTTATCCATCTTGCTCTTCCCAAGCTCGAAACCGTAATTGTGTCGATGTTCTTTTGTTTACTCAAACAAACAAGCAAACACAAAAAATAACAGCAAAAAACAAACAAGCAAAAAATCAGGCTGAGCAATGTGTTTGCAAGTTGTGAAAGAGCCAACTTGACTAGATGTCACGACAAATATTTCACAGTGACAGAGAGCTGTTGCAAAACTCACTGGTGTCCGCTCTCATTACTCTGAAGCACGTATTTCCTTCTCGCGGCCTCCCGAGGAAAAGATTAAGACGAGTGCCACGCCCACTATAGTGAGGTCCACCGCCTCTACAACACTTGTCTGTCTGTCTGTCTGTCTGTCTGTCTGTCTGTCTGTCTGTCTGTCTGTCTGT